GGTCGGGGAGCCCGGCGGGGAGCACGCCTCGCCCCGCTCCCCTCGTGGTTTCTCCCCTTCGTAAAACCGCCGAGTCCCGGTGCGGAGCGGGTCGCTTTAAACATTGCCATTTTAAGTTCTTTAACAGTATTTGCCAACAGTTCGGGTGCAAACCGACGCGACCTTTGGGGTTTGTTTTTCTCCTCCTGGCAGCAAATCTGCTAACTGTGATTCCCACATATCATTTTTATAGGATAACCTACTTTAAAGGATAGTCCCATCAAGTGTTTAAGTGTGTGCCCGTTTTCTGTTGTTCTCAGTGAGGCTTTTGGGGGATTATCCTACTTATGGGAAAATGGGGAGTGTGTCGGTTAATGTTTCTTAAGGATGCATTTGCAGTGCAAAAGTTGATTAAAAAAAAAAAAAAAAAGAGAAGCTCTAAATTAAAAGTATCACGAATCAAGATTTCCCAAGAGCTTTGCACTCTGTTGTGGTATTAAAATATAGTCATAGTTAAATTCTAAAGATCATTTAATAAATGAGTGACAACTGATGATCTTACAGGTGAAAATGTGCTAAGTGAGATACATTTCAGCATTTATCTCTGTCTGTATCAATGTGAATTGTTGTGACTAACTGGTTTGTATATGGGACGTTTCCAGCCAGGTTTGGAGATGGATTATATGACTCCTATATGAGGATAGATCAGATTAGGTACCAAGAGTCTACAAACGAAGAACACAGCCCCTCAGGACTTCCTTCTCTTGGAAGATCTAATGTGAGTATTTTAAAGTAGTCTGGGTCTTCAGGTTGTGTTGTGTGCCAGTGAGAGCTATCAAAGGAGTTAGGTGTCTCTCTGTAGAGAATAAACTAAAAGAGTGCGATGTTGCGACTTTGTAGTAGCTTATTAAGATTATTACTTTTACTAAGCATGAAAATGATGTGGTATTGTGTCCAATGTAGAACTTGGTAGGCAGCATCGGAAATCCTACCTTACTACCCTCGGCTCATGTTTTAATCAAGAAAGTTATTTTACAAAAGGTTGAAGTGTTTTACTGTGTCACCTCATATGTTGATAAGTATGTAAGTCCACACATGCTTTGCTGTAACTCTTGCACATTTGCATTTTGGTTTCTCTCATGAAAATTCTGAGATAAGTACTTAGGAACAGCAGAAGGATCGGTGTGGTTTGCATGGCTGCCAAACATCTTATGAAAGTAACTTTCTCCTCTGAAAACTTTGGCCTTATCTGCCACTTCGTTTGCTAGCAAAAAAGCTCTTTATGGACTGAAGGTGTTAACGTGCTTCTTCTCAAGTACTGTGTTTCCTCAGCAGATGTGGAGTTATGAGGTCTCTCCTTAAATTGATTCAACTGAGCAGTAGCAGTCATGTTTAGCTGTACAGTGATCTGACCTTTATACGGTTTTTAAATGTATTTTGGCTCTTGCTGAATCCTGGCAGAAGTAAAGGAGCTTGAGCTTAAAAAAAAACACTCTAAAATGTGGAAACAGACATTTTGCTGAGTAAGATGCATTTGAAAATCATCACCTTGTGGGAATTTATTGTAACAGATATTAGTAATTAATTTGGTCTGTGCAGTTCACTGAGCAAACTCAGTAGCATGGGTCTGCGTTTTCCCTCTTTGGCAATATTGAGGGAGAGCAGAATAAATTCAGAGATCTGTTGAGTAGTAGAGTTTGAAGAGTAGCAGGTTGGTTTTTTTGCAGGGACTTGGCAACTTTTAAACTGCAGTGTTTAAGTTGTGTATTGTAAGTTCAGTTGTTCAGGAGAATTGAACTATCCAGTTAAATACAAATATAACTCTATGAGTATTTTGTTTCGCTGGTGTATCTTAGTCTTTGGCTGTATTTTGTCCATCAAGCCTGTTAACTTCTTAAGGCAAGATTAAGGATTATAAAATGCCTAGTTTTACCATGATGACCCATCAAAAAATACAACCTCAGTGGTACCTTGTGAACAGGAACTGAGATGAAGCATGCAAGGATGAAAATCATGATGCTCAATTTTAATGGGAAAGTATCTGGAATTAGGTTGATATTTGGTTTCCTTCTTGCAAGATTTGTGTATTACGAAGTAATGTTAATGAGAATGGAAGAGTTCGATGTCTGCAGCTTCCACTCTTTTCATCTTATCTTTGCTTTGAGAATACATAGATTTAATTCAGTTTGCTTAATTCAGAAAATAACTGGTGCACTTTTGCAAAACCGATTGTGTAGAGTCAGGGTTAACCGTTTCCTTCTCAATTAAAATGAAGTTTTTTAAGTATGTGAAAATCTTCAACGGGTGCTACTTGTGGTGTCGTTCTAATTTCTTGGCCGCTAATAGCGCTTTATCAATAAAACAAAACCTGGGCAGCCTGCGATTTGTAAAAGCAAGCTGTTGAAAGCAAGCTGATGTTACCCAGAAGTCATCTGACTTTAAGTGTAGCTCTTCTGAGTTCAAGTTAAGATTGATCTATATTTGTGCCTCATCGTCATGTGGCAAATGATTTTGGTACTCCTCTAAGAATGAAAACTCAGTCCATGCGACTGAAAGGCTGTTGGGTCGGGTTTGAGATCCAAAGGCATAGTTTCTTCATTAAGAAGTAGTTCCAGGATAAATGGAATAATGAATTCCTCATTTATTTAGGGGTTCAAAGGTACAAAATGTTTGCTACAAACAGCAGCGTTAGCAGAGTTACTATGGCTCCTGAATAGAGAATATTTAGATTTAGCACTGTTTGCAAGGCTTTCTCATGGTGCTTTCTCATGTTGCTACAATTGATGACATTCAGACTATTAACACCATTTTTTTTGAAATCAAATAGTTGAAAGAAATTTATGTAGTAAGTAGCATTTCTGCAATACAGTAGCGCGTTTTGAAGTCTTGATGCGTAATTCATTCACCCAGCTAGAGAGGGTTGCTCCACAGAGCCCTGCCAATACAAATTGCCGTGGCGATGTTCTGCGTTGGGGTGGTTGTCAGCAAAGGTGCAGTGGTGTCTATTCTGAATCACAGTGGTAAAGAGCTGCTTCTGTTGTGCATACCAATTGAAACCAATATAGGAGGAATACAAAATTTTGATTGCAAAGGTGAAAATGAGACTTCTACTGTAGAAGGACAGGCTTGTTTTCTTTTGTTTTCCCCCCTCTCTCCTGCCGCCCCCTTGGAAAACTTCAGAAAACAAACAAGCATGAACCTTGTTCTGTGCTTATGTTCTCTGTTTATTTGTAAACTTACTGTTTGAGTCTGCTGGACTGAATAGTCTTTTAGCCAGTTCTGTAAATATGTCATTCTTATCTTGGAGGTTCAGCCAGACTCCGAGAAAAAGGCGTTTATTCTCAGTTACTAGGGTTGGGCCTTGTTTTTTTATTTAAGACTTTCTGGAAGGGCGTGTCTCTTACAGGACGCTGTATTTTTGGGTTGATAGAACACAGAATAGTGGAACTTAGTAGGATATATCCCATGGCCTCTAGTCACCACTGATAAGGACTGACTTCTGCAGGAAATGCCCAGTTGTTGGGGCTTGTGACCAAGAGCTATCATTTCAAGGCAGCACCAGCAAATAGACTCTTAAGAGTCATGTGTAGTTGTTTTTGGCAAGAACATTCACTTCCCTTATTTACTGACTGTGCTGAGATGTCGGATTGTATGTAACTAAAAAGGAATTTGGTTTTATTGCTGTGGATCTGCAGGTTTATTTATATTTTTTGTTTGAGTCCTGTGTAGTTATTTTGGTTTTCAGGGATTCGGTTTGGCATGTGTCTCAAATCTTTATTTTTAGATTAAAGGACAAAATGGAAAACAGATGTTGCTACTCTAGTCATGGCTTCTGCTGTGTTGCACAGGATAAGACAACACCCCTCTGCTGTCTATCAGCATGGAGTGTCAGTGAGTAGGAAAGGGGAGTAACTGCTATTCTAGTGCAGAACTGAACTCCAGGGACTTCAGCATTTACTAAATTGTAAAAATGACAAGCTTGAAAAATTTGACAGTTCATTTCTCACCTTCTAAGCGTTCATTTCAGATGTAAATATTTTAACATAAGAGGCAGTGGTTGCAGACCACTGACAACAAAGTTGGAGTAAGAGATATCCTCGACTATTCAAAGCTTCCAAGTCTGTCTTAAGATAATTGTGCAGCTATCACGATTTCAGAGGGAGTTG